TGTTAGACAGGACCAACCGACCAAATCAAATCAAAGTAGAATATTTTATTGATGTAAAACTGTTACAGGATTATTTGTGTTCTCTAAGTATAAATAGAGAACAGACCAACATGACTTTTACTAACCAACACAACTATTACAAACCAACACACCTATTAACAATAGAAACTACCCATAACTGCCTTTTAGAAACTACCCACTGTTTTTTTAATTAATTAAATATGTAAAACACACTAAACGACACCACACCAATTGACTCTATACTAACTGACCCGAACATTGACTCATTACCCATTTGGTTATATGTGAACAAACCCGATTATATCTAACAATCACGCCCCTAATCGTTGTTTGTTCACTCTGATCTTCACAGCAATGTTGGTTCATCATCATCTTTAATCAAATTTGCAATGTGTTCCTCTTGATCCCATTTTGGACATTCATTCAAAAAATTCCCTAACTCATTGCACTTGAAGCACCTAATGTGACTCTTTTCCCGCTGAAACTGTCCACCATCCCGACTTTTCCCGGACCCCCGACCTCTACCTCGGCCATGTCCAAAGTCTTCTCAGTTTGAGCTCCAGCAACCACAATGCTCAGTTTTGTGCTCCTTAGCGTTCTCTTTTCCATCACTTTTAGTGAATAGTAGTTTACCTTGCATATCTTCTTCCTTGGGTTAAGGTTGGCAAACTGTTAACTATTCTCCCTTGTAGTCACAATCTGTCTATTTTTGTTGTTCTCCCATTGCACGACTTTTATTCCTTCGACAATTATCACAACATTCTTAACTTCGATTCCTTCCCGGGTCGTAAGCCACCTGCAATCCACCATCAACCAGAAAACAAGCCCTTACTTTTCCGTCTTCCAAGCCACTAAACGAAAGCTACCCCGCTGATTCGTTTTTCCCCGCACTGTTTGGATGGAATGCTGCTGCCAAAGGGAAAAACTAGCCCCCTACTATTTTTGTCCTAGGCGAGGAAGAATCTTGTCAAAGATTTTTAATATGTTGTCGAGGACGTCTCTAACACTTTGTATTATGATCTGGTAACCCTTCTACTCCCGATCATACAACTCCTGATCACAAGACACAAGACAGACCACTCCCTTTGATCGTTGGGTCCTTATTGGATTTTTGCTTCGATACCAATTGTTAGACAGGACCAACCGACCAAATCAAATCAAAGTAGAATATTTTATTGATGTAAAACTGTTACAGGATTATTTGTGTTCTCTAAGTATAAATAGAGAACAGACCAACATGACTTTTACTAACCAACACAACTATTACAAACCAACACACCTATTAACAATAGAAACTACCCATAACTGCCTTTTAGAAACTACCCACTGTTTTTTTAATTAATTAAATATGTAAAACACACTAAACGACACCACACTAATTGACTCTATACTAACTGACCCGAACATTGACTCATTACCCATTTGGTTATATGTGAACAAACCCGATTATCTAACAAAGTAGAGCTCTTGATATGCTTATTTGCCTGAAATGGATGTTACTATATGCTTCATTTCCCTTTCAGATTCAAGTATTGCAGCCAACTAACCCTTACCAAATGGGTCATTAATTTTTTTTTTTACCTTATTGAGAGCCTGGTAAATAATTATTTCTTCCATTCCATTTTCCCTTCACACCGGACAGGCTTTTCACACAGTTCAG